ATGTATGGGGGCACAGAAACAGATACGTACATTAATATTTTTTCGTTATTTCTATAGTGAATCTGCCATTGCCTTATGACATGCTTATTCACTTCTGCGCGCCGTAGAATTCACCATCATTTACGCCATATTACCAAGTATTAAAATGACTCGCATGAATATTTATAAAGGTGCAAAGAAAATGAACTTTCGTCTCCTGCGTGCCTTCATGTATAAATTCCTTCACTCTTTTTTAATTCAGAGGATATGAAGCCTATAAATAAAAGAAGGCCTCATTGAAGAGTAAGGTAATAATGTATGAAAGCAGATAAATTTCCATATTTGAGTCCATATGGAGGTGGGTAAAGGGATGAGTTTAGTAGAAAATTTCATATGCTAGCAGAAGTAAGTGAAATTTAGACTGAAGAGAGCATTATTTTCAACAACAGGAAACGTGTAGTGCAGTCCACAACACTTTGAAAATGGCTGACATCGCCTTTGGGTCTCACGGTGACAGTAACAGAGTTCTACAAGCATATTGGAATTTGTTCCAAGACTAATAAGGAGACTGGCTGGGCCCACGAGGTTGAAACTTTGTTTCCTGGAAAATTAACTGCTCGTATTCGTGTTGTTATGTTGAAAATATAGTGTAACGATTTTAGTGACTTAGACACGGATTGATAATTGGATATTCTGAACTCTTGCAACTCGTAACTACGAGTAATTGTAGCGCTATAACTAATTCATGTACTTTAAAATTTTGTGGTGAACAAAGCAGAGCTGGGGCAGGTTTTCTCCGAGTACTTCGGTTTTCCCTGCCAATCTTCATTCCACCAATTCCTCCACAATCACCCTCACCTATTATCTGGGACTGGTACAATAGGCCAGAACTGGCCGCAGTACAAGGGACTTAGTCCCTTGTACAATAGGCCAGAAATGGCCGCAGCACAAGGGACTTAGTCCCACCCCACTAGCAATAAAAAGAAAGTTTTCTGAGTCTGCTGTGTCTTCACCAGTCGTTTGTTAGTAATGGCCCTCAGCTTCTGCATTTACATCCTCACGAGCTGCCGACTATCTCATAGCTCCTCATGGCCGCAACTCCTGGCCATTGACTCCTAGCCACTTCTCGCTATCGCAGGCTATCCCTCGCTTCCGACTCAAAACTCGTCTATTTCAGAACTCACTAAATGAAGAATCTCTCTAAACTTACTCACAGACTCTACTGCTAACCACCGACTGCAGTCCGGTGTCTGCCCCGGTATGTAGCCTCGAGACGGACCGCATAGGAAACAGCTTCAAACAATCTGTTGTTGCGTGTTTCTTCTCCAACAATTCCTCCATTGTTGCCTCAGCCTCGACGCGGAAACGTGTCTACAGCTCCGTTACTTAGTAATGGCAGGCTGTTAAGTTGCTGTAGCCTAGTAATGGATGTTTCTTCTGGCCCCAAATTTCAGGCTTTCAACCATCATGTCAAAATATTTCTAAATGTAAGTTCTTCTTATTGATTTATGTGATACATTTAGAACGTGTCCCTCAATCGTAATCCATGGATAGGAACTGGCCCCCTACCCATTGGATAGGAAGTTGGTTGAGCCCCAGAGCCAGTCTGGACGCTGTGGAAAAGAGAAAAGTCTCTATCCCCAGACGGGAAACGAACCATGACCGTCCAGCCCGTAGCTCGTCGCTATACTGACTGAGCTATCCCGACTGCATTAAGCCTAAATTTGTATTCATTAATTAATTCATTTGGTCATAGTCGTTCCTCATACACTACAATCAGTCGATCAACTGCTCAAGATATTGCCAGTTTTTATAAAACTTAATAGATAATTAATTTATTCACAAGAGGATGCTCTCGAGCTTCTCCTGAGCCAGTTGAATTCATATCAAGCCTCGACACTCAGTTACAGATACAGTAAATGTAAAAGGAAGGGATGATGATAAGGGGACCGGGGGAGAGTGGGTCGACGCTAAGCTCCAAGGGTACGAATGTGCGTTGCTAGGCCTACACTCCCCCGTGGTATCTGCTATTATATTGCTTAATTAAGCCCAGGGCTACATATTTATTCCGTAGTGCGCAATAAAGCAGAAGCCACTTTATGAAGAAGTGTTTCTTTAATCTTTTAAACAAAAATATAATTTTTTGTAAAATTCGAGGTCCTCACCTGGGCGAATATAATGTGGATGTGATTTTTGACAGCGACAAACTGTAGGATAGTGGATAATACACGGTGTTTCAGAGGAATTTACTGTATCCGTCTTCAGGATCAAACAGTAAAGCAAGCAGAAAACGCTCAGAATCCCTGCTGGTTCCTTGCTTGTTCGCTTATTCGGCTTACTTTTTGACTATGAAGATGGGGACAGCATGTTCCTCTGAAACGCCGATTAACTTCCACTTTACTGGACGGCATAAAATTCAAGATGATATATTCCTTAAACTTTTTTAATTAAATTACTAATCAGTTACATTACCAGTTTCGTACGATCATAAATTATCTGGAGGAAAGTAATATTAAAGTAATATTTAGGCTTTATTGACAGATTTTTTTATTAAAATTCTCTAGTGACAGCGGATATCAGTGGTAAACAACGAAAAATATTACTTCTGTTTCATTAATGAAGCAATGTGAGCGAATAGGTTGACTGTCCTCTACCACCATTTTGTCTGTTATAATAAAGTCATATTACAATTTCGACGTGCATACCCATTGCCAGGCAACGACTCGGTAAACACATTCCCAGGCGAGCCATCGCGGCAAGAATAGGACGTCCATTGCTAAGCTACGAATCAGTAAAAACGCCCCCTTAACGAGAGAGGCTGTCTTTTCTGCGTGGTCCGTGCAGAGTGCTTATAAAGAAGTGTACAACAGTGTAGAACAGTAGTCGAGTCGGGAAGTGAAGAGTCAAGTTTCGGGACGCCAGCCTGCCGGGATATGAACTTGGGAGCAGAAGAATTGAATTGAATCGAGTCTTCGATATTGACAGTTGCAGAATAATGGCAATAAAGGAATTAGGCTGTGAAAAGGAGACCCCATGTGTGATTTGAAGTGACAGAGAGTCTGTTATAAATCCGTTGCCAGGATACGATTAATGAAGATGAGAATCACAGTGTGTATGTAATGGTGAACTGTAAAGGATGTGGAATAACGACAGAGCTGTAATGCCCGTAGCTCCATGTGACGTCAGTAAGGTGTCAATACCCGTCCTGTAAGTTACACGAACCAGTCCTTAAACGTGACAATATTTTAATAATTTAACTCTTTTAATTTTAGTGATATGCGAGAGGTAAGTCACGAGGTGTTTCCATCTGCCCTGAAAAGTCAGCCACACGCGCTGTTCATTCGTACGCCTGCATGAATAAGTGAAGTAATGCTTGCCAGTACTGTACTCGTATTTCTCCATTTGCCTTCCTCACTTCATCCTGCGTTCTTATTTTGAATTAATGAACCTGAACGAGCAAATTACGTCATAATGCTAATGTACCATAAGAAAGGGCGCCGGGTCAACGTCGTGACGTCCGTTGCAGAAATAAACAAGAGAGACGAATGCTATGCTTTTTTTCTAGCTCCATTGCAGACGAAAAACTACGCACCGCATTCTGCAACTGTGTGGCGTCCTCAGCAACGTCCGTCAAAAAGTACGTTCCTTACAACGGACGCATTTTGTGCGCTCGTGTGGCACCCAGTCTGAGTTTGTGTCATATTCGTTAGGTCGCTGAAACTCGCAGTCAGGTGGTTAATATTCCTCAATTGCTTTCGGGTGGCCCGGGTTTTATTCTCTGCCTTACCTGAGATGTCTCACAGACTCAACGCAATAATTAAAATCAATATTACCTAAAGTAGGTCAGAGTAATTTTCTTCAAAATATTTCCTTGGTCGTCATTCCTTCTTCCATTCGATTCTAAGCAACTTATGCAACGGAGGCAACATAAAATTAAAAAAAGAAAATTATGTTAAGACCCTACGATCAGTCGACCAGTGTATCTCGGTGTCCACCCATCTGGGACCCAAGACTAAATTTCTATTACTGTCAGCTGCGGGTTTGTTAATGTGAGGAGCTCTCTTTGACGAGATGGTGCGTCTGACGTTTACAATGGTTGATGGCCCTCAGCGGCGGAGTCATTCTCGGGTCCGAGTCCCGCGGAACACACGGCCGAATTCTACTGTCTGAGATTCGAGATCCCCCCCCCAACCTAGACAGCCAAGTCCCCAGGAACAGGGTGGCCCAGTCATACCCCCAGGCACTGGGTTCCCTGTTCATCACCTCATACGACTCGCAAGGCTAAGATGCAAATATTCGAATTCGCCTCCACAAGGGGGAATATATGACGGTGAAGTTTAACAAGAGATGCCATAGACCTCTATGAAACCGCCGTTAAACAACACGTGACATCCGATTTCCGCGGCAACAGATACAAAACAAGAGAGGAACTGCTGGAAACGGTGTTTTCTAACTGGTCCGTCCCGAGGCGGTATAGCGATCACAACTGGACGCGAGTCAGTGACTAGCCGATAGCGACGTGAGACCAAGAAAATATTGTGCGGATCAGTTACGAGGCAACAGCTAGTGAAGACACAGAAGTCAGTGCGTGTTGTACTGTGAAGTCGAGTACGTGGACTTGTCAGAGCGCTATAATTACTAGTAGTTACGATTTATAACAATTCAATGAATTTAATTGCTGATTCAAAACCCGTGACTATATATATATATATATGGTTTACAAAGGCTGTTGCCGTCTTTCGGCGCCGAAAGGCAACTAATTCATATTTATTCAATGTCCAACCTAATTCTTGGTCCTTTTTCTGTACTCTCACCATCATTTAATAAGCTGAGGAACAGAGAGAGTGGTGTAGGTTGGAACTAACACTACTTAAGAATACTATTCATTACCGCTTTGTCGTAATCTTTCTTTATATTTCACCCATAAATTTACTCTTTCAAATCCATCAATCAAAACGTAACTGGTCGCATCTGCCGCAAGCATAGAATTATTTAAGACAATTGCTTTCTGTTTGTTGCAGCGGTGTCCAAACAAAGCAACGAATTTAAGAAGAGGCAAGGGAAGCTCAGAGGAATAAGGACAACGATGGATAGACGAACGCTTAATATTGGAAATGTAATGCTCAAATTCTGTTTTGTAATACAAGATGTTCTATTTATTTCTATTTTCTCGTATGAATTATTTCACTCTAATCCCTTCTGCCTTCCACAGTGAATTGTGTTTGTATCCAGAAATCAACACGAGAGAAGTATTATCAGAACTCATCTACAGAGCACCTTGGGTTTTCATCTAGATTCGAACGGAATACATTCCCAGCACGGACTGCAGTGTCTCGTCTGGTGAAGTCACAAATATCCATGAGAAACTTCTCATCACTTTCCAGTAGATTGATGATAACGGACTGTTAAAGATTTTAAAGAGGGAATTGTGGCCTGGTCGAGGTACTATCCAGGCATTTGCCTGCGGAAGGCCGCGGAGAACCTCTATTAGGTGTTACGATAACCGGTGTCCCGGCCGACATTTTAACCTGGCATCTACCAAATATAATTTCACAGAGGTACAGCTAGACCAACCAACTCGATCCTTATGGAGTTAATCATCATCATCATCATCATCATCATCATACTCTTATGTGGGAAGAAAGTTTACTATCACTAGACTCTTCGAATATCGAATTTAAATATATAATTTTAGAAAAATTTAAGTGTGAGGGTCTCTGACCCAACATAAATATTAATAATTAAATAATTTTCCGTTATCTGCGTACAAATATTCATTATTTGAAACATTCTGAAATATATTGTAACGGAAGGAGCTAGCAACGCTGTCGGGAGTTGCTTACTGCTGAGTACCAACGGCGGCATCCCGTGTTACGTCACCGCTGGGGAATGAAGGGGTGTCCTCCATAGCGCAACACGTCACAACATGAATCCCACAAGATACACCTATTCGCTTAAGAGCTTTATTCACTCTTTATTATGCATTTATACAGTGTTGCATTTCATAACGGATTCCAGTTCAGCCGTTTCGTTCCGAGATGGAATTATCGAATCGTTCAGGTGGTATCAATTTGAACAGACTGTCAACTTTGGAGAATTGTTGGTGGACCACCATTATCCCTTATAAGCGGGGTGAAGTAAACCGGAAATTTTTAGTATTTAAGTCATTACCGGCAGATATAATGTGTACTCTTTCGTGGATCTGTGCTCCTTGAAATTGTTGTGTACAATTTAAGGCGAACTCGCGCTAATATCATGTTTTGCCGCACACAAAAAAGGAAGTTTGGACACCAGACTTGTCCTACGCCTCTCTGTAGGAAATTTTTCTTTATGAAAGAAATTCCAGTACACGTTGACTCAAGGTCAAGCAGAGTGGTCTTGAAGAAGGCGATAGCCCTCAGCTGCTCAAGAAATTGCCCACTTTTATACAACCCGAATATGCATTACTGTGTTCACATGAGCCAAACACTTGATCCTCTCTTGAGCAAGAATTACTCTTTCCATATTCTCACACGCTTTCCCTTAGGATATACTTCAATATTATTCTCTCTTCTATGTCTAGATCTCCGAAGCTGTTTCTTCCCATTATTTTTCTAGACAAAGGCTGTATCATCCATTTCTCAGCTCAACTGCCTTTTCCTTACGACTCCGACGTCCAAATGCCTTCTAAAGTAAAAGCCTAAAAAGGCAAAGAAGTTTGGATTAACTCTCTTCAGTTAAATTCGAGGAAAAAGTGTTATTGGAAAATCAGGTACAGATACTTATGGTCCTTAAGTAGAATTTTTCTAAATGCTAATTAAAATATAAAAATCATCTCTAGTGAAACGTGAAAAGGTCTTGAAGACCGAAATTTGGTTCTTGGGTGGGAAGTACCAACTCAAAGAGACTATCACAAATATATCAAATGAATATATATATTAAATAACAAATACAAATACAACCTAAGTATCTGGAGGTAATAAGCCTCCGACAATGACAATCGTACCGACCAGAAAAGGTGAATTGACTGCCCAGTTCAGCGTCCCACAACGGAATGGATCACTAGCGTTGGACCTCAGCCGACGGGAACCAGGAAGTGGAACATTTGAAGGGGGAAGTAGTAAGAAAGGGGGTGGGGGGACGCCCTCTGACGTGACGTATACCTGGCGTTACAATTATGACCCCAAATTAACATTGGCGACTATAGCAGTACAACACATTTATAGTTGAGAAAGCTCTTTCTATGGAGTATTTGACGAAATTCACAGTCTGCACAGCGAAGGTACCTTGAACATAGACAAATGTATGTAACCATGTAATTAATCATTTCAATTTTCAAGACCCGTCTCAGGGTGACATATTCTTAATGTTTACTTTTGTTTCATTTGAGAAATGGAAGATTTTAACAAATTCACTGGACAGTACATACGCCCTTGTGCTGGGTGCACGCATGAGAATATTTAGTCCCTTTTTGTTCTACTATTTCAGTTTGTTTTATTTGCTTATCTACTTACCAACTCCTCTCTGGTCGCCATTTCGTTTCATCTTTGTGGGATTAAAGTAGTGTACTTACTCGTATACTGACATAGTTCTTAAACGCTGCCGGCAGTACCCATTGGTGGCTCTCATATATTGCCACGTGTATGAGTGTGACTACAGACGGGTTTGGGTTGTTGGTCGAATTAATTGAACTCTTTAACATACAACTCATGACTACATTTTACATTTTACTATTAAAGACACGCTAGTGTCCACAATCACGTATTCACTGCCGTTACCTCGTAGTGGTTTCCAACGGCGGACGTTTCCTTTCCTCTGTGATTTCCCGAACTGTCCCCAGCTTCAGCTAACACTTTCTAACAGCAGCCGCTCATAACGACTGAGCCCCAGCAGTCCTCTAACTCATACTAATTCACGAACTAACTCAACAAAGCCAAAGTTACGTCGGCCAGTCTGTCTTGGTGTCAAACCGCAACTGGGGCCCAAGACCAGATTTTTGTTATTGTCAGACAGATGAGGGTTTCTTCATGTGGGGCGCCCTCTCAGACGAGAGGTAGGGTCCGTCGTTTACAATTGCTGCTGGCACTCGCCAGCGCAGACATATTTACAGCAGTCAAAATCAATAGTACGTATTATTTATATTTACAATTTTACTCCTACTTGTCGGCATTGTTAAGAGTCTGGTTACTTGTGGACACCTAATATTTACAGTTTTAAATATAACTCTAGAATATATGTATGTAAAATATACACAAGGCTTGGCATAGCGTATCATGCCGTAACTCATGTAGCTCATGACATAACGGCTGCCTAGTCATTTGAAAGGGCGTTTGCTTCCCCTCCAACAAGTTTAAGCTTTTGTGTTTTTTTATGTCGGGCACGGATATCTGTATGCGTTTATTCTGCGTTTGTGCTGACCTGTGTGCGCAAATGGTGGCCTTGCGACGGGCTGATCCCCCGTCCAAGGAGTCCTACCTATTGTGTAAAAGATCAAGGAACTGAATAGCGACCAAGGTCCAACAAAAGGGCTGTAGAGCCATAGATAGATAGATAGACAGACAGAGCGATAGATAGATAGATAGATAGATAGATAGACAGACAGACAGATCGATAGATAGATAATATTCGAATTTGCATTCATATGTATGCATAAAGGTCATTATTATTCTTCAAAACTGCTATTTGTTTAGACACTTCCATATTTATTAATTAATGGTAGAGTTTCAATTGATTTTAAGCGTTATTTAATAGCAGTGCTGAAACTGAAACTCTTTTAGGTCTCCTTGTACAATTTAAACCAGAACTAATCCTAAGTTCAGAAGCTCGGAACATTGTCATCTTCTTAGTTTATAACAGGAAACGAACTCAGAAAAATTTGTATTCACATTTACAGTAACCCATCTTATATAATTTCCAATATTTATTAGTCATCAAAGTAGAAATATTTTCTCAGTCAGCAGTTCATATTTCAATGTCAGACAAATTAATTGGTTAAGAAATTACAAAATACCCCGGGTATGACACCGAATATTGTTAATTTTGCTCATAATTCGAAGGTTTGTACAGCTGCCATTTTCTGACTCGTTAAAATTTATTTCAGATTGCGGTTTAACAATAATAAGTTAGTATGCCATTTTGTTTTTTTGGACAGGAGAGAATAGGTTAATGTGCCAAATGTTTATATGGGCACAGCAGTCCAGAACAAATGACGCCGTGTAAACTCTCTTTCTGTTTAAAATCAACTTGGATGCTAGTAGAATGACTGAAAAAAAAATCTTATTTTTTTAATTAAATACTTGTATATAGACTCTTTGTACTTAAATTACAGTGACATATTGCGTAAAACTGATAAGGTTGGCAGTCATGACAGGGAATTTGTAAGGAAATTCTGTAACAAACTGTTTTCTTTGCAATTGTATGCTCCACTTCTTTAACAAAGAGTAAAACCAAAGAGTAAAAAAGAGTAACCTGTAAACGAGAGTCTTCTCTATCTTTATCAGTTTTTTGATCAAGAACCATACCAAGTGACGCCTAAAAGATTGGTTAGGAATTAATTTTCTCAGTTGAGCTTAGGTTTTGAATAGAACTCTCCAGATAATTGAATGTTACTGTCTGAAAGACATGGCCCATTCCACGGAGAAGTGTCTCCATTTGTCTGTCTCTAATGGAGAGGACGGTGGCTGTACGTCATTACTGTCAACATTAAGCAGTTCCCCTTCCCTCTTCACCCCTACATCCCTCGGATTACCACTCACCAACGTGAGTTCTAGTGAAGAAGAGGACGCAGTAGAATTCAGGCAAATTCTCGGGTTCCGCGGCCATGTCTACGAATGTTCAGAGCGTGTTCTTATTTTCATGTGTAAATAAAATGTTCTGAATCAGACGAAATTTTGAAAATGACATGAATACTACGCAATATGCCTACGCGTCACTGAATGTATGTTGTGTTTTGTAACTTACAAATATTTATAAGGTTCATGAAGTGAATTTAAACTGAAAGCAGATTCCCACGTTACGTAGGACTTCAAGACAGACTAACTCTATTAACTCCTTGACATCATACACATTGATACGGTAATGGCGAAAACACCACATAAAGGTAAGGAATTATTTTAATTAGGTTGTCTATTTGTTCTGTTTTGTTGGTTATGATACCACAATTATTTATTTAGCGGCATAAAGAATGTTCCGTCTGTACTTACCCGCGTGTACAATGGGCTACTCATTTCGACAAATTACCGTGACAGCCAAAAACAAGTGGTCAATCCAAGTCTTTGATCATAGAAATCCGTTTACTGTACACTCAGTTCGAAACGCTATTTTCATGCTTGTATACTTCCATAGGCTTGGTAGTTTTGTAGCATCTTTTCGCATTCCTTGTACAAATTGTTTGTAGGGCAACGTCATAACTGGAAGATCCTGGCTACGTTACACGAAGAATTGAATAAAGAAATTATGATAACCTCATAAGCCACGGTAATGATATTAAATTTTATTCCTCTGAAATCATTGCACAAACCCTACTTATAGTCACCTAGATTTGTCAAACAGATATGAGACTTAATGCAATGTATTTTTCTCCATTCCTTATGGCTGTTTTACCGTGACATGATGAGACCTCTCACTACACACTTCATCGAAACATGGTTTATGCTCCTTCAATTATTAATAATCTGAGACTCCCTTGGCTGAAATTTTTATATTCTCTCTAATAGTTTTCCAAGCTATATTAATATCCATCTCAGCTTTAAGTTTTCCAGATCTGAGAACATATTTTAGATTTCAACAAGATACTGCTCGTTGGCTTCTGCCTCGTTAAATTTCTCGAGAGTGTGCCTGTCCATATCTGCTCTGTGCGGAATTTGTTTACTCAGTATTAGTCTCCCAAACTTTCTGCAACACCAGGTAGTGGCCAGTAACACAACTGCTGCCCTGAACGATCGGACATCAAATACACTTGAGTGCCGTCTCCTATCTATTAAAATATAATCAAATTGTCTTCCCATCAGGAGTAAGTAAATTTATGTGTGTTACGATGTGGGAACGTTGTAATTTTAATAGTAAGATTTTTCGATGTGGCAAAGTTTACTACTGTAACTCCATTAATATTACTCTTAGTATTATGTATGATATTCTAACACTAACAGACTCTCCCCTCTTAAATGCTGATATGATTCTCTTAAATACGAAAAAAAAATCTTTGTCTCATTGATGATTCTCATTCCCATTTCCACATAAAAATGTATATTCGGCTGCTGGTTCCGTGCCACCCCTCTTCTATCTGACCTGCTGTACTTCCATTAAATCTAACTTGTATTTTGACATTTCTTTTGTAACTGTCATGAGCGAAACTGCTGTATATAGACTCCCCACATTCAATGTGCCAAATTTCACGGCCATATCAAAAAGTCCGTCCAGTCCGAGGTCCTTTATGACATTTAGCCAAAAACTTGTTTTTTTACAGAGAGGAGTTAATAATCACACGCCCAACCCCAAAATCTGGAGGACCACCCTTTCTCGGCTGTCCGACTGCGTATTCAATAAGTTCGCAGCTATCCTCCACATCTGGAGGCCGTCTTATCCATCCGCAACCTGAGAACGTCTATATGCAGTGATGACAGGGGACCCCTTAACATGCTCTTGCTTAGGTTATTGTGTTAAAAATCTGACTCGTAAGAAGGGTATACTTAAATTTTAATCTGCAGATCTTCAGCAATTTCCTGTGGCACCCCCATAACTGCGCATGCAGTACATGGAATTTTCCATTCTTCAAACCTTAAAAATCTGAGACATGAACGTGCTACTTCGTCCTTCCTTCATCAAAGAAAAATTCGGCCATGTGGCCACCATTCTTTGTCGGTCCAAGGTTGTTTCTCCAGTCAGTTTTTCACATTCTCTTTTTGTGTATTGTAATTTTCAACCGAGTTGAATATGAAAGCATGTTAACGTCCACAGAACTGTACAAAGCTAAGCCTGTGCCCTAGGGTCCAACTGACCCAAAGTATTACAATAAACACACGAAATACGAAGCTTGAGAAAAAATGACGAAGGCTTCTGGAATAATCTGACAGATTATTTCGAATTTTTTGAAAATGTATGCAGGCTGATGTATGAATTGCGCATTGCCAAAAACCGCAGTATAGCTGTGTCTCTTTCTTCAACGGGAATATCTCTGTGTTCCGTATTACTTAGCAATTTCCATACCAATTAAATTAATCAGGAATTCAAAATCTGCGGGTGTGACAAGAGTAAAACCTTTGTATTTCCTACTAACTTCTTGGAATTTCAAGTCTACTAAGAAACGGGCACCACTACACAGAGTTCTGCTTCTACACAACTGCGTTTGCCTTCAACGTCTTTCCTTTCGTTTATTTTTGGAAGCCCTGTTACCTTACGGCACCATACGCATGTGCGTAACCGGCTTCAACTGAGTACTTTTTACCGTGATTGCTGCTAAGCTGAGGACACGCCAATTTAGACTGGGGCCACACGAACCCACAAAATGCGTCAGTTGTAACGAACGTCGTGACGTCCGTTGTAGAAATAAACAAGAGAGGCGAATGCTACGCTTTCTTCTGGCTCCATTGCAGACAAAACACTACGCACGGCATTCTGCAACTGTGTGGTGTCCTCAGCAACGTCCGTCATAAAGTACGTTCGTTACAATGGACGCATTTTATGCGATCGTGTGGCCCCAGCCTTATGTGTAGTGGGCGCTCCTTTGCTTATCATGGGAGTGCAGAAATCTTTTCTTTTATATAGAGCTTTCGCATTATAACCCCCCCCCGTTTCGCTTGCGGACTAAAATCACAGGTTTTTTCGCATTTTAAACGTATTAGTTAATAGAAGAGTACTTCGCAGTAATATCTTTTCATATTTCAGTAAGTAAGTCTGGCAGAATAATTTCTGAAAATGTAGCCAGATTGTAATGGCGGTAGAAAATATGAATAAGTACGCCGAAACATTAGTGACAAGGGACATACACGCTAAAAGCCAACAAAGACTATAATGATCTCTGGAACATAAAGGTTAAAACTTCTGGCTCAACACGTAATAATTACTGGAAAATAAAACGTTTAAAAGTTGCTCGTCATTGTTATATAACCGATATTGTTTATTTCCAGATTTGTACGTAATTATAAACTTACGGTTTGTAATTTAGATGCGGTCAGAAAAGAAATTTTGAGAACGGTTCATTTGTCTTCCATAGAAAAGAGCTGATCTCCGAATTCAATATTACAGGTTTACCATTAATTATTGTTAACGTTTAAACTTGCTTTAGTTTGCTTCATTTAATGGGCCACTTTACTTGAGAGTGTAATTCGAATTTTAGCCTATAACTTTGTATCCAGACAGGCTCTAGGGCCCACCCAGCCTCTTATCCAGTGAGTACCAGGGGCTCTCCCCCCCCCCNCAGCCGGGGCGTGAAGCTGACCGCTCACCTACATCAAGCGCTTAGGTCACAATAATGGTGCAGCTATATCTTCATTACCCCATACGTAGTCATGGCATAGTGCTTAATTTACTCGTATTAAGCAGAAGGAAAACTTTCCCTTTTTACCCGTATCTTTCAGTGATTTGAAAGATCAATTAATCCTACACGATTATTTTCATGTAGGAGTTACATTGTTCTTAATTTATTGTCAGGTCCACAGTACTTACAGACCTTGATACGTGTGGGGATAAACGGAATAAAATGTCTTGAATAAAAATTATAGGAACCGACAATGTGAATTACAGAGTTTCCTTAGAAATTTCTTGAGTAACTGGTCGATCATTTGCTACGAACCCTCCGTGCCAGGGGTTAGGTTTCTAATTGTTTTGGGATAAAAATGTTTTAATTAAGACAATGTCTGAATCAAAATACGGCATTAATCACCTTGCATCTTCTTCTTTCTTCATTCGCGCTGGAGCCCTCATTTGAGCCAAGGCCTACCTCCATAAAACTCACCTTGCATCTTACATTTCTTAATACTGGGTTAGAAATTGTCTTTGCTCCAATACGCTTCACAAAGAATTTACTCTCTCTCTCTCACTCTACACACATACATATGACACACAGACATTTTTTCACGGTTGACATTGTGCTTCGTTTGAAAGAAAACACAACTGTAACCTTACGTGCACAAAATATGTTACAAATGCGAAATTTCATGTTTAACATACCTACACAACAAAAGGCAGTAACGAAAACTAAATAACTCATTTGTTCAACTAGTCTTTGCTTTTGGTTTTGTTTTATGTTCATTCGTAATACTGAAACACACGGAGAACAATTTCTTGACGATAAAGTAGAGTACTGCCAAGACTGCAACGACGGCCAGAAACAGCACAGCTATGACATCTAGTAGCAAGTACTGATACCAAGCTAGGTCGAGGGCAGCAGAGCGCATATGTGGCGCTCCGTTATGTCTGATTACATACTCCGTCCAAAAGATGGCAGTGTCCATCGGCGAGAGAGGTCGGTCTTTGAACGCCTGCTGAACACGTGCCGCATTTTCTTTGTAACTGTACGAACAACAGAAAAGTACAAATCAGAGTGTGCGTTACATAAATAGCAAAACTATAAACCTATCTGCACCGATTGCATCATACAATTCAGACAGGACAGTACAGTTTACTTCAGACCGACAATTCAATACGGACTTGTATTCCAGAGGTTGAAGGTTCACATGTCGGCTATCCTGAGGTTTTTCATGGTCTTCCTCAGACTCTCCAGTCGAATACCGGGATATTACCTTCTTTCTCGTCTTTACATACTCAACATTCATAATCACGTTCCTATCATAATTGATGCTGCATACTCGTATATTGCACGAATTGTAAGTGTTGTAAAATAACTCAAAATCTATTTATGTATGTATTATTTTTAACGACATCAGTGGTCAGATTACCTGTAGCGTAGAATAATAGCTTGAATATTAATGAGCTGAAACCGATGTGAATGGAATGGTCATACGCTAGTTTGACGTATTATCACACCATTTGCGCGGACGTAGTGAGGAAATGAACGAAACGTCTCGGAATAGCAAATATCCCGACAGAGATTCGAAGCCAGTATTTCCCCAGTACAAGTCAGAAGTGTCAAAAGTCTGAGCCAGTTTGCCAAGTTATATGAGATAAAAATAAAAATAACTAGTTTAATATTCAATTAACACCGGTATAAATAATATAAGAGTGATCTAAGGCATGTACTGTCTTCGCTCGCTTGGAAACCGGGATCGTGGGTTCGAATCCCACTCAGGGCATGGATGTTTAGTTTGTGTGTGTGCGTTTTTCTGTGTTTGTGTACAGGTAGAGGCCTTGCGAAGAGCTGATCACGCGCCCAAGGAGTCCTACCGAATGTGTAAGATCTAGAAAAACCGAAGTGAACGGAGAAGTTCATGGAGGTAGGCCTAGGCGCACTGGGGCTGCAGTGCCAAGGAAAAAAAATAAATATACGTAATGTAAGCCTATACATGATGTAACTGACGGCTACGGACGAATTTTGGGTACTTGTTCCACATACCAAAACAAGAAAATTGTCCATATCAGCATGTGTCCGGAAACAGTGAATGACCAACCTTTCACAACTCTTTCAAAAATAAAATGTCTCCAATATTCGAAATATGGCGCCTTTTTCATGTTTCAGACAATATGGCATCGATAGGCCGCGCCATAGCTCAAACGGTTAGTGGCTGGCTTCCCACCGCGGTGGCCCGGGTTCGATCCTGGGTCTGGTCAAATGGGATTTGTGGTGGACAAAATGGCGCTGGGGCGGGTTTTCTCCGAGTACTTCGGCTTCCCCTGCCAATCTTCATTCCAGCAAATTCTCCATCAACATAATCACCAGGGGCAGGCTACAATAGGACAATCAGTGGCCGTGTCGAGTGGAACCAGTTGGACTGCAACCCCCACTATGCGAATTTAAAAAAGAATTAAAAAATTTAAAAAAAAAATATGGCATCGATGGTAATGTGGTAACTCATATGACGAATTACACAGGACGTGAAAGAAAGCGGAAGTGACCTAATTTGAGGTAACATCACAAAACCCTCAAGATGACCTCGTTCTGACTAAGATTCTTATCGGGCATCTCCCGTAAACAAGTTAGAAAACTTTACCCTTTGAGCTTATTTTCTTTGTCATATGCGATTCGGTATTCGAAGTTCTTTCTTTTGTTCGCATTTTCTGATTGAATTTTTGCATGTTTCTCATTCTACTCATTTGTGCTACATGTCCCACCCATGTTATCCTCATTGATTTCACAACAAAATAACATTTAACGAAAATTACAAATTAGGACAGTCCTAATTCGGCAGTATTTTCACCCCCTCTTATGAACACATTCTGTTAGGTCCAAAACAGCTTTGGTATTCACCAAACCATTCGCTATCGGGGGTCCTTGCTGCACCAGGAAAACTGACCACATATCTGTCTGGTACGGAGCTACTGACTGTAAGATGTTTGCCTTGTAGGTATAGTTAGTTAGTTAGTTAGTTAGTTAGTTAGTTAGTTAGTTAGTTAGTTAGTTAGTTAGTTATTGGAGAGGGTGGGTTTCCCCATGCACTGAGACCTGTATTGGTCCATTGTGCTTCCCTCTATGATTTCTACCAGTCT